TCCACTTCTCTTTTTTTCTCGATCGTTCGCCCGCGCTCACTGCCATTTATGATAATCTACGGCTTAACGTGGAAAAAACAATCAGTACATGGATTGTTGAAAACTGTTATTCAGGGGTGGATTCTTCCGATATAAATAAAACAAATTCTTTCGCATTACGTAAAAATTAATCAAGTACAAAAAAAAGAAAGTTTAGCAACAAATCGAAACCCTGAATTCATAAAACTTTACGCATAACTAAATAACCACACGATAATAATGTCATTACCGCAATTCAACAGCCGCATTTGTAAGCGTGACCTTGCACAGCCGGAAAAGAAACGCATGCTCCCGAAAACGCCTTCGACAAAAGTTTTAAATAGTCGTATTGGCAATTGTAATATGCCAATAGATCATAGTATTTTTTTCTTATAAATTTTTTTCTTTACATATTAATTAAGCAATAAATCAGAATTACATATTAATATTACATATTTACAGAAAAATAAAACACGAAAAAATAAGTTTGCTTTTGTATTTTTATCGTCATATCAACTCGACGAGGTACCGAATCAAATTATAGTGTCATCCAACATCCGCTATCCGACAAGAAAAATAGGCACACAAATGCATAGCATATAGAATCATAATTGAACTTCAAAAATAGCAATAAAATAAATAATGTGAGAATATGGAAACGTTTCAGTTTTTCATTGCAAAGTATGTTGCAATACCTCATGCTGACGTAATAATCAAATGTATCCCGTGAAAAGAATAATAGCATATCGTGTAAAAAATAATTTCCTTAAGACAGCAAAGGAAAACGTTACCAAAACAGCAACTCAAGCGAAATGAAAATAAAAATAGCACATTTGAAAAAACACAAGGAGGCATACAGCGAGAAGAAACAACAAACCCAGTTAAGGCGGTCGAGCGCAGACGAAGAACTAAACTCGCCACTGCCACCTACCCTCCGTTTCCACCCTCTCTGACTATGTGTACGTAGAGCGAAAGCTCTCGGACATTCGCGCATCGCACTGGCGAATCCATAAATCGAAAGCTTGCTGTGCGCGCAGCGACGGCCGATAACAGACTGGCGCTGGCCTTTTATCGACGACGAGCTGCAACTAGCAGCCCCTTCCGCTCGACAGACGACTGCCTGCCTGGCTGACCACCTGTCCACCACCTGCAGGTGGCGTTCCACGTGCCTGCACTTTTAAAAGCCCCGGGCGCGTAACGACTTTTTCCCTAATTATTCCGGGGCTCTCTTGCTTGCTCTCTGTGTTTCAACGGATTCGCGGGCTGATTGATGGTGGGAATGCGTGGGGAGAATAAGAGCAAAAGGAAGAGAGCCGCGCGCGTGTGTGCCTATGTAATGCTTTTGTGTCCTCCGGAAATTGGAGTGACTTCCTCGTTTTTGCTTCGCTGCCAGCAGAGTTTCTTTGCCATGTTTTTTTTATTTTTTTTTTCTTTTACTTTCGCTTTTTCTCATTTTCTTCTGAATTCGTTCGTTCGGAAGTGCGTTAGTTGATTATGAACAGTTTGACCTTGTTTCGTTTCAGGATATTCGTAGAGTACATGTTTACTTTCAACTCAGTTTAATACTGATTTTTATTACCGAAGAGACGCTGTTTAAGACGACGTTGCGCGATCTTTTGTCAAATATCAAATTGTATAGTCGTTTTAATGAAAAAGTGGGGAAAATGCGGTTTTAATTACACGCCTGGATTTTTGTATAATTTGTAAAATAATTATAGCTTTAGCGACGTAATGCCATTATTTTCTCTTGATGTACAAATTGTGTTTTAGTACCAAACAGGAAATTAGCAAATTGGAGAGAAGACTAACAAGAATCGAAGAGAAATTTGAGCCTTTGACCTACACTCTGTAAATCTTACCTCAATAATGGGAGCTTAACATTTCTAAAACAAATTCAATGACTTTCTCAAAACACTTGGGAAATACTTCAAGTTTCGAGAGTTTCAAGGATCAGCTTTTTATATAGGATTCATAATTAAAGGTAAAATTAAGGTGTTATTAGTTATCACTTTTCTTCAAGGCTTTTTCTTCTTTTTAATGAATATTCATTGAACAATTTATCGCTACAGTTGCGATAATGTTTTGTATACAACAAAATAGCTTTGTCGCAACAAGTAAAACTACATAGACGCGTAAGTGGCATGTAAGTGCGATCTCGATCTGCGGTATCGATGTAGGACTAATAAGCTCTCGTTCAACGGGAAAAAAATGTCAAACCAAACCAGATTCCCATCTGTACTTGCGTCGAGATGAAGTCACGTCTATTACGCCATCGACAACAATCGCTTTGCGAAATAACATTTACTTGGCTACTTTGAAGAAGGGGGGGGGGGCAATTTTCGCGCAAAAAGCAAGAAGAAAAAGAAGTAACGAGCGGCCTCGCGTAGGTATTTTTACGTGGAATCTTTCGTAGAAAACACAGACATACTTAAAGTGTGGTAAATCATACGGCTTCGACGAAGCACGAAGCGAGTCCTTAACTAGCGCGTCCATCGCGCGAGTGCGACTGCTATCGCGTGGCTTCGGCAGATACAAAGCCTGCATCGACCGCCGCGCGCACTTGCGCATCAGATAGACTTTCTCTCTTTGCTGTGAACCTCTGCTGGTCTCCCAATCATTAAACTCTTGGACGCGGCCACCGAACGGTAGTCCAAACTCGACATTTTCCAGACACTGTAATGTCCCTATTGTGTGCAACCCTTCCGAAACGTCTTTTTTTCTCTTTTCGATATCAACTCGCCATACAGCAGCTTCTTTTTCTTCTTCTTCTTTTTGACAAATTGATGTGAAAGTCTATCGATTCACGTACATGGCTCTTTCAAAGTCTTGTTATTCGAATTCCTAATTGACTTTAAGTACCATTTGAATTGCAGATGATTATATCATCGTTGCTCACTGTACGTAATTATCTAAATTTTCTTGATACTGACGATGATATCACGAAACGACAATATTATTTCCATTACGACGTCAATAACACACAGATTCGAGTACGCTGTCTCAATACGCATTGTCAGGTACATGCTCGATCTCTCAAACTGTCAACTTATGCGGTCCATTTTTGTGTGGAGACGAAATGAGACAAAAACTACCACAATCACTTTGCGTCAAAAGGGACTTTACGCGAGTATTACGAAAGCGATGTGACAGAGTAAAGAAGAAGAAAAACGAAAAGGAAGAAACACTTAAAGAGCCATCAATTACAATAAATCCCACGCGCAACCTGCGATCACCTCTCTCGTAATACCTGTGCGCGTATAAAGCTCCGATATATATAAAAGGCGAATGTTCGCCTTCCACTCTCCATCACCTGTAAGCTAACGCGCGCCTCTCGTACTCTCGTTTTCGGTCAAGGTTCGGTCAACTTTTTCTCGCTCCACTTGGATTTGTGTATATACGTATCTCTTTGACTCGTTCGTAGCTCGCTCGCTCGCATTGGGGACGCTAGTGTAAGGCTTTAGTTTTAACTCGCGGACTAACGAGATTTCGCGGCTGTTGATCTCTCTCTCTCTCTCGGCGTGTTTGTCTAGCGGAGAATGCCGTTAACCCTACGTTACTACGCGAGAGCACGCTTGCTCGGCTATTTTAATTTAATGAGTTGCGATTTCGACCGGACCTGCTTGTCAATTTATACCTGCTCTTAATTTCAATAAAAATACTTATGTCGTACAGCAACTAATTGATGACCGATTTCAAAGCTACCGCTCATATACGATTGCAGCGAGAATCTCAGATAATAATTAGTTTTGTTGAGATTTTAGAAAGTCGATTCGCGTAATATTTATGCTGCAATGACTTCTTGTCTTGATCAGAAGTCGACATTCAAAGAATGGAAACTAAATGTTGGATGAACAATGCCTATACCGAATCAGAAAAGCATATATACAGAGTATATTTGCTTTAATAAGTCAAATCCACTGAAAGGATTAGTCTCTTGACCGTTACGTGTTCAAAGAGCTCTTCTCGGTTTTTAGTTTGCCTTCAAAAGTGAGAGTAACAAGTTATTACAACCGTTTTGTCTAATCAGGTCAACCGAAAAATAAAAAAATCCCACTGTGCACGCTCACGATTTGCATTCTTAATTACTTGTTTACTGTTAAAAAACTGGAGAAAAATGTTTATTAATATTGGCTGAATTTCTTTTACTTAAGCCAGCTAAAAAAATTTTTCGAGCCAATTTCGTAAACGCTTCGAGCAAACAGTCCTCGTCGCCGCACACCATTAAGGGAAGTGATTAATGACTTTGTCGTAACTTTCATTTGCGACGTAAAAAAAATAGTTAATTTTCACGAAGGTTATCTGAGTTATATAGCTAAAATAGAGTATGTCACTACTTTACTTCTCGTAATATTAACTAAATCGAATTATCGATGCACTTGATATGATTTACTTTGTATTCGATTATTCCTTTTTTCATTTCTGTATTATCATCAGATTTAAAAAAAAAATACTTTAAAATACGTAAATTATGAGATCACGTATGAAGCGTATCAAGAAAAAAAAATACAATTAGTATTTTTGAAAAATTGTTAATTTAAAGAAAAAAATCTTATGTGCTTATAAATTTCAAGATGACCTTACCATCAGATATATTTACTAACCATACCACTTATAAATATTCCAACTTTAAACATTGTTTAGCAAAAATTGTTAAACGGTAACACGATAAAAAAAGAAGCAATAACGATGGTTGAAATTGGCGGCTTAATTAAAAGAAATGATTACGATAGGAAGTAAGCCCGGCGATAAGTACGAACGTAAACTGTCAGAGCAACGCAGCACGTCATTTTCATAAAAAAGTTTAATATTTCTCGCAATCGCTCCAACATAAAAGTACCAACAATTCGCAGCATCATTAAAAATGGAAACTGGTCTTTAAAAACAACTTCTACCGTTAGAGTGGTAATAATGATCTTGAATAAAACAAAAAATATAAAGGCAGGTTATATCATAGGTAAAGCAGCAAGGATCATTAAGCTTACCTTGATTCTCGCTGGCGCCCACGCAACGTCGACTCTCACTCTCTGTGCTCCTCTCGCGGCAGGCAAAGCTTCCTTGAGTCCAATTATCGTTTCCGCGACTCGTGGCCGCGGCGATCATAATCCATCTTAGGCTGCAGGACTGCTGCTGCGGCACTACGACTACACTTCCTCGTCGCGCATCTCCACGGCGCGTAGTTGTTCTTGATTGACGCTGCTTTTATATATCGCGACACTCGATTGTTCTTCTCGTTCTTTGCCTCGCGCGCACCACTTGTTTACAGTTACGAATTGAAGAAAAAGAAACGAAGACGTTTTATCGCTCGCGCAAAAGCGACTGACTCGAAGGCGAGCGATTATAATACGATTATTATTATAAAAGTAAGCGGATGTTGCATCGCTAAGGGGAGAACTAGCCGCAGCAAAGCGTTACAGTTCGAGGCGTCCGCGCTTATGAAATCGACTCCTCGCGCGCGCGCGCGAACAAGAAGAGGAAAAACAAACTCGCACTCGAGGCAGTGGCGCACACTGAGACAGTATAACTATCACTGATACGCGGGATATGCAGAGCTGCGGGCGGGACCAATGCCACAGTGTCAAAAATGAAGGAGCCGTAAACCTCGATGCAGGAGGGTGTATATCGGTTCGCGCTCGCGCAGCGCAACAAGTGCCGGCTACGCGCACTCGCGGCTCAACACTGCGCACAGCGGAGAGCTGACAATTCGCTGGTTTTGCACTCTCGGTGCCCGTCCAGATCGCGCGAGCGAGCACTCGGGCTCACGTGCTCTCCTCTCGTTTTCCGCCTGGCTGCAATAACGAGCTGAACTGGGCGCGCGGAGCGCATTAACGAGCAAAAATCGGCAAAGCAAAGCGAGTCGGCTGGCGTGTATGGTCGAGGCGCGCGCGCGCGGCCGCTCTCGAGCAACAACTGGCCCGCTGCCGCGTGGTGCTGCACGACAGCCCGCTCCGCTGCACTCGCACGAAGCCGGCTCTGCGAGCGCGAGAGAGGGAACGACCGTACGTTCTACGCCAGGAGGAGGAACGCGAGGAAAGCTGTAGGTGACCACCTTGCGCGAGCGCGCCCGAGCGGGCCGTGCACCGAGATGATGCGCCGCTTTGGAAGCTTCGAGTGTGTACGTTCGAAGCCGACTGGAAACGAGGGGAGCTCGCGCAGAGGAAGACAGAGAGGTAGACCGGAAGCAAGATATGCGTGGCCTACGAACGCGAACAGTCAAGGACGGAGTGTCGCTCGAAAACAAAGGTTTATCCGGTTTGTTCGAAATTCGATGCTACACGGTTGCTTTCGGTGCTTTTCGTTATCTCTACACCGCGCGTCGCTCGGAATTTTAATCTGGTTTTTCCCTCGTACACAATGATAAATTATTTTATATTTATCTATAAATTAAGTAGCACACTTACAAGAGTCTAAGTGGTTCTTTGAGTTTTAAGAATATTTCAGACACTCGACCGCTGAATCATTTGCTAATGTAGTAAGTTTATCTAAGTTGTTGTTATACATACAATTGGAGCGCAAACAGATTATTTATTTATCAACGAGATATAGAGCTGCTAAACGAATCGCTATAAATGTCAGGCAACTATATATATACCAAATTATTTCCATTTGACAAAATAGCATCTTGCTACCACTGTATAAAAAGAAAACTTTCGAGTAATAAATATGGTTGTCGCTTACGTAAATGTGCGTGCGAGTCATTTTCATTTTTAGATGACAGAATGTTTTTTTCTAACGTACCGATAACCTGAAGAAATCGAATCTTTTACAGCAGACCGGAATGAAAGGAGCATGTGCCCCATTCTATAGCAAATGCAAAAACAATGTGCAACCCATTATATTTTTATAGGTGTTTTCTCGGTGAATGCTCAAAAAGTTTATTGTTTATGTTTTCCTTGAAAGTACCTAATAATTATATATGCTGCACATTGTTTCGAATTTAGTTTGCTACAGTCCTTCAGACACGCACTTCCTCGGAAACAGGATGTGCCCTTCTTGGATCAAAAGGGCACATTCCTCATTGGGTTTAAAATACACGTGACTTTTTTTAATAGCAGGACGTACCGTAAATATACACTTATAAATTTATAGGTCCAACAAAAATTATCTATCGATGAAGCAATAACGATAAAATAATATTATTTTTGAAATATTTCAATAAAATATAAAAACGTAAATCTATCATGCATCAACAACTACGCAGCTTTTATGTTGCTAAATGAATCATAAAATTCTAGACAATAACATTTAATACGAGCACGATGGAAAAACAACGTATAAGAAGTACAGTATAATCAGCGAACAGTAAAGGGAAAAGGCGAAAACGCTCGGTCTTGCCGACACGCGTGCAGTATAAGGACTATAAGGTAGACGTACCTATATGTCGAGTGTAGAGAGCGAATGAAGTGGGTGAAGGCGTGATGGCTCAGGTGTCGACTTCTTAATTGGCCTCGCGCACTCGCGTAATTGGATTCTTAATTGTCTGATAGATTTACACTCAGATTGCCGACTTGGTTGCACGTCTATATATATGTATGTATATATTTATTATCCAGTTAGACGAGCGCGGGACAAATTGTTCGATGGATTTGTAACGCCTGCTGCAGATTGATGTGAACGGCCTACGGCTGCAGTTTATTTGTATTTTGATTAGCCGTCTCGTCGACATACCGAGCGATTACTGCTTACTGTTAGATTTTTTTTTTCTTTTACAACGTTTCCGTGTAGACGAGGATGCGTCGGTGCATTGAGGAGACTGTGACTTGGCACAAACGTCAGACTGATTGCTTTATAAAAAAAAACAATAGAGAGCGTGAGGAAGAATGAAGATTGCTTAATTATCGTAGAGATACAGATTGAAAAAGATGCTGATATTTGTAGAGCATCGAGTTTGAAAATAAACATTTTATTGATTTGTATTTGTTTGTTACTGATACAATCTATATAAGCTAAATGCTTTATTGTTTTTCCCCATTTTCGTATACATACCGATTCTTCATGATTTCATTCTATACTGATTTTTAAATTTTGTTTGTGTTCATTCAACATAATACGTATTTACTGAATATGAAAACAAAATACTATTTCTTCTAATCGTATAAAAATCGTTCATGTAAAAAAGAGCAAGAAATTTCGAATGTTTGTATAATTTGAAATAGTTCTATTATATATCTAGAAGATTGACATTTATATTTCAATAGCAAAATTCAATTTATTAATACTTAATATAAATAATAATCTGGAAAAATGAAAATATGCCACTAATAAGTCATTTTTTGACAATAAGAAATAGATTTTCAAATTACGCTGGAATATTTTACACAAATCGATAATTGATTACCATCTGTAAAAATAACAGTGTCGTCTTAAAATTTGATTAGAAGAAAGAAAAAGTTAATAGAATAAAATGAAGGATGTTACATCTTTATTTTTTTACATTGTAAAGTGAGAGGTATGATAGAAACCAAAACTAATTATCAGAATATTAAATTTGAAAAATGTTCGCAAGTGTTTTCAACTGGTAACAAAAGAACATACGATGTTAAAATATATTACGAATACTAATATAATACTGATGCCGTAGAAAATCACTGCAATTGAGTACGTTTCTTATTGCGTAATACAAATAATGTAAGAATTAATTTTAAAAAATGAAGTATTATCTCATATTACTTCTTTCTACACAAAAGTAATTGGCACACAGTATTCTACACAGCATAATCGTAAATTTGATCATGTTTTAATAAGGGCTGATCTTTCCAAACATATAATTTTTTCAAACATTTATTTATATTTGGAAAATTTTTTATGTAATAGAATACTTTGAGCCAGTTATTTTCAAATTGAATTTTCGGTAAAAATTTTATATATTCAATCTTATCTTATTTTCTAATAAATACTATTTTCTGTTTTTGTACAATTAAAAAAGTATTATGTTGAATAAATACAGTTTAATAAAAAAAAAAGCTCAATCTTTATAAAAAAAAATTATATTTGAAAATTTAATATGATTGACAATACCTAAATGCTTTGTAAACTTTATTTCGTAATCGATTAAGTGCGTATCAAATTGACAAGAACGTCAAACTCGATTGCAAATTCGAAAAAAGACACGTGTCTGTAGATGGCAAACCAATCGAGCAATTTAACCATCACTCGCGTTTATTTCATCATACACGCGCGGCATTTTCGTGTTAGAGAAAATTCGCATCATCACTTTTTGCGAAAGATGAAGCAAAGGTGTGTAATGACGTTTAATAAGTAATGCCTGTCTCGACAGGCCTTGCTCGAATCTCAATGATTTTAGATCTCTCAAAAACGCACAGCACGAGCGAAGCTAAATTCTCCTCGAGTTTGCCTTGCGAATCTTGTTATTATAAAGGACTTTGTGCAACAGGTGCTCATTCAAAGAAAACTGAATGCAGTCTGTTTTTCACATCGCGATTCCGTACATCGACGTGCAGCTTAGAACCGGGCCTTTCCACTTTAGGAAGATAACTTTGGCAATGCTTTCGAGAAAGTATTTGAAACCTACGAATGCTATATTTCGTGGAGAAATCACTCAATCATTTGACTTTTAACTTACATTGATTTTGTTTCTTTTGTATAACTAATTCAGAATCATTTATTTTTAATGTTAGCTAACCCGATTGCAAACGTGACATTGAAAATATAAAATTTAATTCATCTATTTAATAAGAATATATGCATTAATTATGGTATGTTTGATTTTTGATGAAAATTAACATGCTTAATTAACTAAGCCTTAACTGATCTCGATTTTGAAAAAATATTTATATACATTTTTGTGTTGACTTCTAACAATTATAGGTATTGATACTATTCAAGTATTATTTGCAATTCACAATGTTTTATAAGAAGTATAAGTAACCTTAATATAATATTTGTTATTAGTTACACTAATAATTAGATAACTTTTGGAGTTCAATCAAAAATGTCTCGAAATTAGAATTAATAGAACGTGACATAGTAATTTTTTCAAAGATTTTCGCAAATAAAATAGATTGTACAATGCTTATATAATTTAAAAAAGTGATGCAATATCGTAATAATAGTAATAAAATTTAGATTACTTCAGCTAATAATTAATTCAAAGTGGTTATTATTTTAGGATCTATTTAAATTTTTATTTTAAAAATACATCTTCTGATGTGAAATACTGGTGTAATTCAGACTAGTGTACAGGATACTAAATCCTCTACTGGATTATAAATTTTGTAAGGTCAAATGTATTTATGACACTGGAAGTAAATGAACAAATAGGAAACTGATGTATGACACAGATTCCTTCTTTATCGACTTTTAACTAGGAAGAATTCTATAGTACTAAGGTTCAGCTTTAAGTGGCAAGTTATCAACATTTACTAAATTATCATTCATTTCATAACTCATATCGTAAATTCTAATAAATAAATGCACAAAATAAAAATAAATATTTGTATTCTCTTCTTACAAAATTTGAACTTATAAAATAATTAATGCATAAAGAAAGCTGTTTTCAATACTACAGTAAATTAATAAAGGATAAAATGAGACTTACGTTGTTTAAATGATTGAGTTAGTTATTATTTTTATCTGTATATATACTTTAAACTTAAAATGAAATTTTGCTTTAATTTATTGCTGATATAATATAACAGATGGTACACTAAAATAAACTGTTTAGGCATTTCAACACAAATATTAATATTTTATTTTCTTTGATAAATTATCTCACAGGTGAAACAATGCATTATAATATGTATATATATATTATCCGCTTAGAATAATTACCACGTGTAACATAGTCGACGATTTCAACAGGCTTTCATCATATATTATTGTACGTTTACATTTACAATTAGATATTATGAACAACAATGACATAAACATTCACCATCGAGTCACAAGATAGTAAAGAAGTGTTAGTGGAAATCAATGTTGGTTCAATTTCAAATAAATTGAAATATATGTTTTGTATGAGAAAATTAATTTATGACACTATTGTTTAAATAAATTAGAGATAAAATATTTTGAAAACTTTAATACTTTTCGATCTCTTGAGGTATTTTATCTTAAACAATATTCAAAACAATTGTAGCTAGTTCCAACAATCGTAAGAGATAAAGTTTTACATTGTGAAAAGTGGATTTTGAAATACTAAGACCACATTTGTTTAGGAAAAAGTCTCTTACATATACGTCGAATCACTCATGCCAAACGATCCAAATCCTTTTGAAATCATTGTTCTTACAATTCGATTCGCATCTTCCATTTTTATACGTCAACGTGAATTCATGGATGAGGATCAGCTTAACAACGTCTATCCGTGCGTAATTCCGGGCAGTGATCGACGTTTCGGAAAACCATCGAGAAAATCTGACAAAACTTACTTTTCGTTCTTTCCTATAAATTTTTACCATGGAATGTTTTCTTACATTTACTTTGTACCAGGCTTGTTAGAGATTCTAATCCCTCATATATATGCATTTTATTATTTTACTCATATCAACTCCATTTTTTTGACACTCTATAATGACATAATTTTATACGATAATTTCTAAATGACAATTATGATTATATGTACTTGTTTTTCTTTCTACGAAGAAATATATATCTATATTCGTTTAAACATTCATTTACACGTAGCGCAATACTGATTTTTCTTTTTTTTTTTGCATTCTATCCTTTTCTGCATTATTGACTATGCCTTGGCGCATTGCGTCTCTTCAGACGACTTTTTGTAACATTATACACTCTTGTTTATACTTTTTCCCATGCACATCGGTCATTTAATCGAAAAATATTTTGTCTATGTATATATATTCTGTGATTTCAAGATTATAATTACGTTTCTTAAATTTCTTTGTCTTTTTCATGAATACTAAAATATGTATTTTTCATTAGCTTCTTGAATTTGGTATTGGTACGGTTTCTTTATTTTTATCGTTTTGTAGATCAAAACATAATTTGTAGATATTTCGAGATAGTTTCTTCATATTGCGAAGATATGTAATACGGTGAATTGTAATTGTTTGACTGAATAAATAAATTTTAAATGTCATATCCAGTGTGCGAATTGGAATATTATAATTTACAATGGATTCATCAATTTTACAACAATAGAATAAAAACATTAATACGTTAAATAATTACAATAGCTATTGCTTTTTCACATAAACATTAAAAAGACAAGGACGTCATATTGAAAAGTCAATTGATCTTTTTTTAGCTTTTGCAAATGTTCCAAATCCAAACTAGAAGTGCAAATCGAGTAGGAAAGAGATTGTAACGGGGTTACAATAAAGTCACTCACATAATAATAAGACGTAACGGTTAGATGGAGAAAAAGGAAAGCATAATAAAGCTGAAATAAAGATCGAATGACAAAGAGACGCAACAATCGTGTAAAAAGCAGAGCAAAAGTAGCAGCATCGTTAGCAATTAATTGATATAGCAGCCCGTCCACGCTTTCGGCGCAAAACGGCCATCTCCGTATGTCCATTAATTTGTTTGTTCTATTTCTTTCTTCGTTGGCCTGTGTGTGCTTGTTATTTTATTATTATTTTTTGTTTATGTTACGGTTATACAATCGTTTATTTCTTCTCTATGGCGCTTCTCAAAGCCGTCGTCGCCTGCGTCGCTGTTGAGCGGTCGGAACGAATAAACTTCGCCTGTGCATACGCTGGTCTCTAACATAGATGCGCTCGTTTAGTAGGATGTTTTACCGAATATATAGTTGCCGGGCGTGCTCGGATCGTCCGACGTGAAAAACTCTTGCCAGAGCTTCTCGAACTTATCACGAGTTACCTCGCTTCCCTGAAAAGTAACAAAATATGTTAACATATAGTTTCAAATGCTCGGGGATTTTTCCATAAAAACATTTTCATTTCACAAAATTGAACACATTTAATATTTACTGCAGCATTCAATATATCATTATGTAGCTTGTTAAACAAAATTTAGTACTTTTAAATTTTTTAACTGAAGAAAAACGTAAAATAGTTTTAATGAATAGAGTTGTTACTTATGATGATGATGATCTTTATGATCTTCTAGATGTTTTTACTATAGAATTTGAGAGTAGTTGAAAACGTATTCTCAAGATTCTTTCCGGATTATTTCGTCTAATAGCAATTTTGATAAAGTTAGAATACTTATAATAGAAAACTTCTGCAGAGAAATATTGTAGAAACATTATCTTTCTGTTATTATTCATGAAATGGCAGATCTACCAATGGTATCCGAATCACTCTTATTAGTATTAAAAATGTCAAGCTTTTCTATGTTTTACATTAGTAAATTGCATAATTTTTCGAGATTCAATTTGTAAATGTGCAAGTAAAATTGAGAAAGCATCAAGTTCAGTTCATTATCTCGAGAAACAGAACTGATTGCAAAATCACATCTGTATTGTTAACAACTGAACTTGTGAGAACTATTTGCAAGTATCGCTTGATCTTTAGAGGCAAATAGTCCAGTACACAAAGGTGCTAATCGAAAACGGAGAGAAACTTACGACTTGAAGCTTCTTGAAGGCCTCTCGCGACTCGGTCTCGTTGACGCCGTAACTTATGCACACTTGACTGAACTCCGTTTCATCGATTGAGCCGTCACCTGCAAGCAACCAGCGATCGCCGTCATTTAAACATCTCAATTATTGATCTTTTTCAGGATGAAAATATCGCACATTACGTCTCGCGTTATGCTAAATTCGTTAACTCAGGCTTATCAAACATGCACGGCTTGAATATTCCATATGTCAAGGGGAACTCGTATGACTTTCGATCAAAATATCATGTTATTTCGTCCTTCATAGCGTTCGGAAAAGCGAAAATCTTAGTTACTTGCAGCTTTTAGATGCTACTCTTCCAAATGAACGGATATCAATCATTCAGTGATAAACCATTTTTCGCTTCTGCAAATATCTAATATTATAGGTTCACCGTGTATATAATATTAAATAGAACATAATATTCATTTGTATATGGAATTTCAGACTGCACGTTCAATAATATTCTTTAGTATAATATGTACGGTGTGGCTCACTAAATAGAATCACGATATGAACTTGATAATTTATTAATGTTCCGAACAGTTTATACATGATCTATCGCTTTATTTCAGTATCATCAAATTAAATTAAGTATCCTATTTTATACTATAAAGGTATCAACAGTAACATTTCCGTAACATTTAATTTTATTGGCCATACAAAAAAGTAGGCCGCAAATTTATCAAAAAAAAATTATTTCTACCAAATAATTTAATCTTTAATCTTAAATTAAATAATGTATTTTTATAGTTAGCTATCCGATCTCCATTATATCAGTATTAAATATTTAAATTCCAATAAAAACATTATTATTTGAAAAATTTGACTTTGGTAAAAGCATCTTGTAGTTGTAAATGTGAAAGCTGAGCCATCACAGAAGAAATGTCATTGATTTACAAGCACACTCACCAGAAGTATCCTCAAGATCGAAAACGAGATTCATGTAAGTCTGCTGCCATTCAACGGCGTGTCCCGGATCTTTGGCGTATTCTTCCCACATCGAGTACCATTCGTCCCGGCTGATCTGCAAAGAAGCCAGCAAAGCGAATTAATCGAGCGTACAGTCAAGTTCTATCGTTTCTTCCTATTACTACTTTTTGTTCTTTTGAGAAGAGGAGCGCGCCCGTGCGTGCGTATGTACGCTCATGCGGAATGTAATTTGCATACACTACTCGTGACTTTTGTGCTTGAGGACAATTTATCAAATGGATTATCCATTCAGTGCTCCCGCCAGACTCTCTGACAATCTAAGCCACTTAAGAGCCCTTGCAACGAATCCCAAGGCTTGACTCAGCAGCCAGATGAGCAATGCCAATATACTAAAGAACCTGGTGCCTAGATGTACGTGCACGCACACGAATCCACTTTACTCGGTGCATCACGAGCCAAATGCATCGACTACCCTTGAACTAGATTCCACTAGTCTTATTTATTTGCCATTTGAGCATTTGGGAAGTAGCGACACGCGCTGCGCAACCCAAATTTTTCAAGCTCCCAAAGGGCAACTCTTTACTTTGGAACCAAAAAAACCAAATTTACAAGGTTTCTCTTCTTTTTTTGTAGATGAAAAACGTTACTCGTGTTTCTATTACATGAAAAGTTTATGTAAAAAGTATACGAACCTTTAAAAATTAAATTTTAATTTCTATAAAGATCAACAGTGAATTGTTGAATATTATATTCGTGAGCGAAATAACATTTTACTCTTATTCAACATTATCTATTTATTTTAATTCTAAAACCTATCTAACTAAAGTCTGGATTCATTCGTAGATATAATTATTCTTATCTGCACTTGTTCTATGATTTTAAGCATCCAGGCTGATACGAAGCGTTCAATTTTAGATCATATTTTTCACTACCCCTGACCTAATATTGCACGTATCATTCTTCTTGTTTGTAAAACAATATCTTCAGAGATAAAAACTACTTTGCTCGTATTTTCGTTTTTCAAAGAATGAAAGCATATAACTTATGTGATCAATGCACAATATTTACCTGACCGTCATTGTCAGCATCAGCACGTTTCTGTAGACCATCCCAAACCTTGTTCAAGGTATCTTTTGTCTGCTGAAATCTAGGATGTCCAGCACCCCAGCCTCTCGCCTCGCATATTTTCTAAATTCATAAATATTTTCAATTAATATTCTCAAGAAAGTACATCTTTATTAAATCTCGGAATATATTATGTAAATTACCTGAACGGCCAAATCAAAGTCTTTGATATCAATGGATCCGCTATGATTGACATCTACAATAGATAAAACAAAATAATTTCAAGTTGTTTTTTTAATTCAAAAATCAGAAACGTGATTGTTATTCCATGCTGTTCGTGAATTCATGTATAAAGTTTGTAGAGAAGACCAAAAAGAAACTTTATTGGATATCGAGAAATACGCTGTATATACGACAGGTTCACATACGTGTATAATTTGTTAACTAAAAATAAAGTGTGAGTTAAAATTAAAAAATGTTCTATTTCTTTAATTCCACTGGCCTGATATTTTTCCTACTTTGGCAATCAGCTGATTCTCGTTCGCAAGAGTATAAATTGTACCGAGGAAGTCCTCACAAAGCGCTAAATTAAAGTCCCGGAAATTCCTGCAACATCTTCGCCTTTCCGAGAGTCACTGAACGTCGCCGGTATTTTATCTTCCTTTGCACCACATCCGCTCTCGCATCCTCTCATTTAACAACTTTTTAAATTTAAAAAGAAATTCCCAAACAAAAATTTCAGCTACTTTTACAAACCCATAAATCTCTCGAACACGCGCACGTACCTTTACTGAATCGGGTATCATTAGTTTTACTGGTAATGACGCCAAGTCGGATTTCGACCCCCACAACGATCGTATTAATGTATGCACTTTGAGCTTTGCCGACAGCGACGCGATTTCCGGCGATATGAGTCGCCAAATTAATTATTCTCACTGTGAATGCGTATACGGTCTTAATTCCGTCATATGCATGCCGGACACGGTCCTCTCTAGCGCGAATTCAGCTGTTTGGAACAATGCGGTCCTTTCAACAACTTTTCTCATTATTTAACTCCTTAAATTTTTGATAAATTTGTTGATTAATTTTTTTTTTTTTTTTTTATAAAGCAACGGTGCATATTTTTCTTATTTCAGTTTTGAAAATGATTTTCGACAACAACTCATCATTTTATTCTACGTAAATTGAAAAACATATAAAGAGAAAAATATTCTATTTCGTAATTGCAGCTATAACTCCAACTGACATCAGCCTGTTATAAAAACTTCACCGAATGTACAGAAGGAATTTTAAACGACATAAAACATCAACGCTTGTTTTCATTATTACGGTCGACAAATACGTGATACTGAAAAACTGAATTACAAAATGAAGTAGAAATTTCTGTTGTATTGGTTAAAGCAACAAGGTACAATGTTCAGCCTCTAATATAAATTTTTAACAATAATTTTAAAAACAAAAAAGCATATAAAAGTTTACGTTAATGTTATTTTTATATCGGTATAAGTTAGTCGCTTTTTCTGTTTCAAGATAATAAAAGTAAAATATTCTGAAATTGTGAATCATAAATATTAAACCACATCATGTCTTTTTCGCTGCATACAATCTTTACTGTATAAATACGAAAAAAGTAAAATAAAGAACCGATATACTTAGTATTGATTATTTTGATGTGACTGCGAATATTAAGATAAAACTAGCTCAAGTTCATGCTTAATAAAGTTATCGAAACGACAAAAAAAAAGAAAAAAATTAATTTGAAATATTCAAATGTAATTTGAAAAATGAATAATTCTATTTGCAATTCAAATCATTTGCCTGCACTAGTATTCAAAAAGCTAGAAGAAAAGCTACGCGCGAAGCTTATCGAAGCGCGACATCGCTTTGAACGATAGAAAAAAAATACATAACAACCACACGAACGAAATCAAATTATCAATCTAACAGAATGGGGCATCTCTCTAGTGCTTTATTTCCAATCTGTCAATAAAAATCTTTTAAATTTTGACCAATAACTGCAGACAGCCTCTCTCATCAGATCATCGGAGATAGATTCCAGGCGTTACTCTGTATTTGTCAGGCCGTCGCGTTTTATCACGCCACTTCGAGAAGACGAGAGCGAGAAAAATCGGAGAGTCGCTGATAAACGAGAAATCGCACGTTGACTGATAGTTTTTTCGACTAGAACTCTGCGATCGAAGCATCCGTAATTTTTGCGGAATGAAGAAACGACAACAGGTGATCTATAGTCCACGCGAGCTCCAGTGACACAATTTAGGGACAGCCTGTCCCCGGTGAAACTTTGATTATCATAATCTAGTTAGTTTCAGTTACGCGAGACACTCTCGCACTATACGCGTTCATGTATATTAGCATTGCTGTAAACATGCAAATTTATGCGCAAGGCGTAGTTCAAAAACTATGCAAATACATTCAATAATTTCTTTCGCCCTTGCTGCGCGATGCATTAAAAGTATAAGTTGGCCACGAATGAAAATTGAAATTCTCAGCAGAATTATACGCGCGCCATTTTTGTTTATCCGCAACTTCGGCTTGTTTCGTATCTCGTTGAAAGTTCTGAGAAAGCTGCAAATGCTACCATTCTCTTAATTGAAGGCATAAATCCCGATATCGATGAGCTAGCGATAATAAAGAAAAATCAGCAACGGGCGTGAAGAGAGAACGAGTGAGGGAGCCGATGGTATCGCGAAAGAGATAAGAATATAGCGAATGAAGGTAATTAGTTGTTAACTGTCGAATACGAAGCTCCTCAAGTGGATGTTACATTACATTACATGCATTACAAGCGAACCTTGACTTAGTGTCGCCTCGAATCAATATATGCTGCGTTATATATATGAATGTCGTTATATTACGACAGGAAGCATACAAAAGCCCTAGCCGCTATTTGAGCGATCAAGTTTACAGATCTAAGCTTACAAGGTTAATGTCTGGAATACCTTTCCAGTATGACGTAAGCTTACTTCAAACTTAAATTGAACGGAAAATTCTTTTTGCTAATGTTGCAAATAGACTTGCACTATTGACAGCAAACTACGACACTTGGTGATAGTAGTAGAATATCCTATTATTTTTAACAATATACAGAATATTGGTTTATCAAATGTAGAAATCGAGTAATATAGTATATATTAATGCAACGAAATTATTGGAAATGAAGCCAGTATCTATCTTAGGATGTCGTTTTCAAATGGAAAATTCGGATTGTCTATATAAATTAGTAATTAGGAATATCTTGTAGCCCGTCACATATTACATAGCATATGAATAAGCTTTGCTTACTATGTGAATCCATCAATTAAATATTTATTATAATAATCACTTCGTTAAATGATCATTCTATACTTTCAAAATAACTATCACTGAGATGTATTAACTAAAAATTATTCACTTAAAACTAAACAAAAAAAAGTTCCAGTGAAAAGAAAAAATAATTAAATACAGAGCACCGTTTCTTAGCGAAATGTAAACCATGCAAGTTTTTGTGTTTTACTGATTAAAGCATTCTGACAGACAAACGCAATCTAGTTTTAATAGAGAGATGTGTTACGCTCGACCATATTGATTACATTTATTTGCTAGTCCACGTCCCTCGGCGGTTTTCCAATGCATTCCAGTGCGGCTTACGCCGTGATTTTATTGCGTTGTTTACACAAAGTAATAAAAGGTCACACGGAGTCGCTATGACGCAACACTATGCCCTACAAATCGAATACTTTCGTGTGTAGCATAAATTAAGTTTTTTTTTCTTTTATCCCTGCCGACTCGTCGTTCACGAAAATTTTGAGAAACAACAGGAAACAAAAATAACGCAAGCGCGATCTTGATGCACTCGCAAAAACCTATCCATCAAAGTACAAAACACTCTTATCGTAAACTTTTCTAAAGAAAGACGAAAAAGCCGATGCAGGTCTGCGAAAGAGATACAGAGCAGAGAAAGCCGAAAATTTATTTCCGAGCTGCCGGCGTGCTCTCAAAAGAAGAGACTGAAAAAAAAATCAATCGCCGGACGCTACCAGATGAGTGGGCGTGAATTTTTCAAATTACAAGCTCGCTCGTCTTTCGTTCGTCCGAGAGTATATACATACAGCCAGCGGCGGTGGCGGTGACAGCAGTTCGATCGAAGGCTGCTGCTGCTGTGGCGAGATGAGCCAGGAGAGAGTTATGTTTAGCGCCACGCGTCAAAGGCAAACTCCGGCTAATGAGAGCTGCGAGGCGAAAAGGAGAGAGAGAGAGAGAGAGAGAGAACCGTCGCTTTTTATCCCGCTCGTGCTAGTGCCGCACGCGAGACCTTCGCTCTCCGTTACTGGCGAGCTTCATCTTGCATGTATTAAGCGCTTGCGACGTCCACTGTGTTATTGTACACCTGCCTTCGTGGTTTTGCTACGCCCGTGTTCCCTTGTTTTGTTATAATTACGATAATTACGGGCCTATCTGCCCTTTATACGTGTGCAACATGTCTTGTGTTGTTCGCCGAACGACCAGAACTTTTCGTTCTCTGTTCTGGTACAGTAGATTCTCTTTCAATGCTATATCGAAGTGAGTTTTTTCGTCTGTGCCAAATGGTTGTCGTACTGTATCTCAACTTTTACTACTTAACTGAGGATTGAATTGGGACTAAACTTAATGTGATGGAAAACGTAAAGTCACAGCACTTTTGATAAATTATCAATAACAAAATTGAATGGTTCTACTTTCTATATATCAAATGTTGAAAATATCAACTCGTGACTTTTGCACGTGATGCATAATTTAGTTAAAAATTTGAAAAGGTTTTCTTTAGAATTTTACTTTGGAAAAATCCTATAATTGAAAAAGTACTTATTGTAAGTGGATAGCATTTTTCATTAGAATATTATAAATTTTCTGCAAAGATCGCACATATTTTCATTTTTTTTTCAGTCTTCACCGCTATAATAATTCCATCAGTGATCACTTGAATGTAATGTCTTTTTCTATATATTTTTTTCGAGAATAGTAATTTCACTTGCGAAACATTCCCATTATAGAAATTAGTTTTTTAATTCTCCGGTGTTAGTAGCATTCTCGTTTTTTTCGTTTTATTTTTTTTCCTTTGATTTTGAGATTCCTCAGCGACTTTTTATATCAGTCATAAAGTCTTGCAATGAATGAAAACTTGACTATCGAATGGCCCATTGCTTCTCCTCTTCAAGATCCGTCTGTCTTCCCTTCACTTTTTATCGTTTTCGTTTTATTTTCTATCGATATATACGTTGTTGCAATTCATGAAAAATGAGCATCAGTCGTACGAGCCGATGTAATAAAAAAGAAAGTGCACTCACCGAAAAACGTGTTGAAAACGAATAGGAGCTTCTTTTTACGGAACTCTGATAGCGACATGTTTATTCTGCAACAATATAAAATGAAGACATGAAGTATTATGAATGTCATGTAATCATTTGTTTTTATAAATTTATAATCTATGAAGATTTAGTTATCAATTGAAGTAAAGTATTTCATTCAAGTTGTAAAAAAAAATACAAATAATCCATCAATCCGGAGTATCGTGGTTAATTTCTCTTGGGTAAAAAAACTCATATATTTTTACAATCTTCGCTATATACCATCTATGATCTACAACCTTCACCTATTTCCCGGATAATCAAATATATTCGTAATGCTCAAAAAAGGACCTCAAGAAAATTAGAAGGCCAGGCATAAAAATGCGGAGCATATCTAGGCTCAAGATACAGAGGATAAAGATTGACAGTTAGACGTAACCAGCAAAAGGACGAGGGTATGGATTCTGTCTTTCTCTATCTCTTTCTCTCTCGGGAAGACTTTTCCCAGGGGATGCGCGATGGTGTGGCGCCGCTCTTTGTAATAAGCACGAATGCGTGAGAAAGAGAGTTGTGTAGGGGGGGGGGGGGGGGGCAATCGATGAGCGTGGCTTTTCGATTGGTTCTGGTACTATACGAGTACATACGTGGCTATATATGTAGAACTACGATTTTCGTCGTACCCTTTTTGCTGTAGCAGCTAGCGATTTACATGCAAAGCCCTTTCCCCGCCCCAGGAATTTCCGATATGCGTCGCTAACTAAACCGAGCCTCCGAGCTTTTCCCCTCTTGCATCGGATTAAAGAGTCAGCCGCACTACCGCTGATACGTACGGAATCGTTCTCTTTCCACTTCTATGTGGTTGACTTTGAGTGGAAAATGAATTTGGCATGTAATTCGCTCTTAGACTTTATACTCTGCTATTCTTTCGCGGAATCTAGTTTCATTTGTACTAGTTTTTATTTCAATATTGGTCGTCTTTTAGTCGATGCGTGCAATTTATACTAGAAACGTATTAACCAATGCTACGGTATATATAAAGTAGCAATATGGTACGAAGATAGTGCATTGCAATATCGGATAATTTTATAGTATAGATATATCTGTTTATTCTACTTGGCAATTATTAAATAAAACTTATTGAGTATTTAACCTACTTTAGAATTCTGAATATTGCTTACTCGATTTGAAATGAACCTTTAATTATGAAACAATCCAACTTAGAATTCTAATTTACGAAAATATTTTGAGAAGAACCAAAGTAGTGGTGATAAAAAGTTTGCATAATCTTTACAGTTAAAATTTAAGCTTACTTTCATATGTTATTGTTGAACTTGATGTTAATAGGCTTTAATAAGTAACACGTGTGGCCTAAATTTAAAAATTGCCCGCAAAGTTTAAAGTGAGAAAGTTGATGGATGCTTAATGCAATTCTCACATACTTACGGATATTATGAGGCTGAAATAACAATCGCTGTCGGTATAAGAGCGAACGTTCTCAGCTTAACGCCACTTAAAAATGCTTTTGGTTGTAATGCTGTTCTCCTCCGAGAGTCACACACAGCGCACAAGCACTCACACAGGCACAGTAGACACGACCGAGTCGAGGTTGCAGATACAAGGAAATTAAGTGCTCCGAAAAAACGATGTCGCTCACCTTTTTATTAAAAAATCTTGCGCGTCGCGCTTGACGAAGGACGCTGTTGACACACTAAACGCTGGCTTCCGCGGTAGAATGTACCCTCATACATACACACACTCACACAATATAAAATACCGAAGCGACTGATAAAAGTTTGCTTGCTCGCAAAGAGAGAAAGAGAGAGAGATGATGGCTAAACATTGTGTGACGCAGGTTCCTTCGTAATCTTTTATGGCACCGCAAAGGTAATCAGCGATATCTAAAAATATTGTATTTTTTTTTGCCCTCTCCTCCCTCGTCTCCACCTTTTTTTCTTTATCTGATTGAGAGTCGTAAACGATGATGACGGTTTCTCCCTGAATTGACTCAACAGACTATAATGTAGATTATACCATTGCGTCGACCTTTTTCTTTTTCTTAAAACAAACATCATATTTTTTTATGATGGCGCGACGGAGCTTTGATAATGAAGAACAGTAAAGTTCGTCGTTTGCGACTGGAGGGATATGGTTCATCTTTCTTTTCAGTAGTCACGTACATTCGGAGATAAATTTCATGTATGATATACTGATTATTCTTTTTGAAAGTTTGATCTTGATGATGTATTTTACAAAGCTATTAGATCTTAACGAATAATTTTTCTAGCGATGTGTTTTTTAAGGTCACACTACGCTATCGTATCGTCCGTGATTACGTGTTAGGTAAATTTATTATGACGTTTGTAATTCATTCTTATATCATTGTAATGAAAAAATAGATTAAAGACTTGTAAATCTCTTAAATAGCGTGACTGTATTGACGTCAATTCGAAGACACGTGTGAGACAGCCTTGCAATTGTTGTAAAGTGTGATTCATGTTTCTTAGAAGAGTCATTTGTCGTCGAATAGAAAATTTATGTTGATAAAGCCCAATTAATGCACAAAACGACTGGTGCTTATCACACAAAGTTTGCTGATCAAATGCCCGTTTGTTTGTTATGAAATCTAAATCAATGAAAAAGTAATATTGTCAATTTCTAAAAATCAGCTCGCTTCCGCGTCGAAAATATCTCCAATCAATTCTCCGCTGGGTTCTCGGCGTAACGAAGGCCATTATCTCGCTCATCGTACCTATTGGCTGCTATACACTGGCAGTGAAGGGAAAAAAAGGAGAAAATAAATAAAGAACGAGGAGCTAGAGACGAGAGAGAAGCTTCATGACCGGCTAATAAATTGAAGCCCCTTTGTGCATTGTCAGTTTGGGGTCGAACGTGGCAGAGTTAGCACAAGACGGCGGCGTTATATACTTTAAATAAAGCTCTGGGTGGCGTGGCACACGGCTCAGCGCATCATCCGCCGGCGATGTATTTACAACATGCGCCAGTGAGCTCTCTCTCTCTCTCTCTCTCTCTCTCTTGCCGCCGAAGCTCACTCCCGCGGTAATCTTGGATAAAGTTTTTTTCAGCCTTTTTTCAGCAGCTCGCGCTCGACTGGTTGCGCGCGGTCGCTAGCTGCTCTGGCTTCTCGAGCCGCGAAATTTAAAAAATGATTCTCGCGTATTTTTTACTCTTTATACACCCTTGAGAAAGAGAGAGAGTGAGCCTTCTGTACGAGGAAGCTATTCAGCTGAGCTGCAGACGGCACTAAAGAAACGCGTTAAACTTCATTCGAGCTGTAAGTAAATTCACGTGCTTCACCCTCTCTTCTTTCCTCTACCCTATGTTTTTATTTTATCAGCGTGAAATGCGTAATTTTATGAAAGTATAAAACGAAAGAATTTCTCTCTTTGTTAAGAGAAGACGACTTGTTATGTCTCATAATATTACCGAAAATCAAAATGTACTAGTGTTATCAAGAATTTTTATTAAATTTTTTTGATGAAACCGAAAGAAAAAGCTGTTTGGTGAACAAGAGTTTACGTCAAATATCAGAACTTTATGTGTTTTAGAAAAAGAAACGCTTGTGAATTGTAATGCTTAGTGGTAGTTTTTCATTTTGTGTTATGTTACTAAATCGATATGCTATTCAAAATGAAAATTACGAGGCAATTGTGGCGTATATAATATTCTACTAAAATCTGTATGTGCCTTCACTAAACATATAATGTGCTTCTGTTAAAATAAAATTTTATAGCATAGCTGAGTAGCTTTTTAATAATTTTCAATGATCCGATTATTTTTATTGATCATTTATCAAAAATATGATAATAATAAAAGCTTGTTGGAATGTAAAGTTGTCAGTTTGCGAAATCGAAGGTATGGTTTCATTTCAATAATTTAGTCGACATGTTGAACTGAAAAATCTCCCCACAACTTTGTCATTTGATACTCAACAAGTTGTTATAAGTCGTTATACACCTAGTTTAGAAAGTATTGAGTTCGCGAGCTTGAATGGATCATTGGCAGAACTCATAAAGTTGTTGCAAGGCAATGAGCATCGCCGAAACACAGAAACAATAATAAAACGGCTCATTCGCCATAACAACCTCGACGGCGGCGGTGTCGTTGTTAAAACTCGACAACAGCGACGTGCACTTAGCTTCTCGCGTGTAATAAAGCTGCGCGCAAGTCGTAACGCATCTTCGTCGTGGTTTCGATCCGCGCAACAAAGGAGAGACGAGGCGGGATCGCGCACGGCGTGAAAGTTAAACGGACGATTTGCCAAACGGTTGCTATTCGGTCCCTAGGTATGTCGTACGTGCTTGGCCCGCGGCGGCGTAAAAATAATTCGGCTAGCGGCCGCGCGCGTACGAAAGGTACTTACTTCTCTTGGAGAATCTCGGCCAATCTTGGGGGGTGAGAGAGAGAAAAAAAAGGACGAGGCTACATATATATAAAAGGCCGGGAGGCAAGAGAATGAAAGAGAGAGAGAGAGAGAGATGGATAGGTTGATAATAGGAGCGAGGGTAAGTGCGGTATAAAAATGAAGTGTAGGAGATAGTCTTAATAAGAGGGTAAGGCCGCCTGAGATTAATATCGGCCGACGGGGACACTACACACTAAGAAACCGAAGTAAGCGTTAATGTTTCTTGATTTTGTGCGTCTGGCAACCGTTTATATATACACACCCCTGCACAACGTTTTAATCTCTTTAGCAAGCGAGCGAGACGATTCGAGATAACGAATTTACTGTTTATTACTACACGACAAAAGTTTTATGCGCCAGTTCATTCACATTTGAAAGTCTGCAGAAAGTATGCTCTCGTATGGATGCGACCTACATTAAAAGTCGTTTATTGCAGTTTTAGTGAAAAGTGTAAACGTGAACGCAGAAATACGAATAGTACGCGAGAACGCAAGTAATTGGACGTGAAGAAGAACGCGAATGCAAGCAATTTTGCTACAGACACTTGGTTTGCGCAAAAAATACCTAGACGCTCGCGTGCCCGTCAGAATATAGCGATTCTTTCGAGCGATCCCCGAAAATCTTTAAAAATAAACAGAGGAATACCGACTATTCAGTACGACCCAGCTGCAGATAACGGAAGTAAAAGTAAAAAATACAAAAAAAGAAAAAAAGGCAGGCGAAGAAAGCGTGAGAAGTCAAAACGAGAGTGAGAGGAAGATATATAGATCAGCGCAGGTTGGCATAAAAAGAAACCCAGGCAGCCGAGAACGAGCCGCCAGGGCGCAATAAAAGATCCATCTAGCAAAAATACGCGCGTCGACGGTTCGCTATTGGTCAAAAGCGAGAAATTGCGCCGCCCGTAGTGGTCCCGCGTGTGCCCGCTCTATATATACGTACGCCGCGTATAAGGTGCCCGGGACCGAGGAATTTTCGACTGCCATCGACTTATTTGCTACTGCCGACGTGTCCGTTGCCTGATCTTGATACTCGAAATGGGGTAAAATTGCGATTGCCTCGTACGCGCGAACTCACGGAATGTACTCGCGTAGGCGTCCATGCGAGAGCGAATGGGAAACGATTGAGAAAAGTAAAATTGATTTTTCGCCAAGGTCACCTGCCAAAGTGGTACTTGTTTTTACAGTATCTGAATAAAGAAAGCATCAATGGTAGTACAAATACACTCGGTATATTGTTTATTTATCTTCTAGTTCGTGTATAACGAGTTGGAAATCTTAATAATACTGCGCCTCCACAGCTTGAAATGTCTTATTGATTTCCTATGCCAAGCACTTCGTTCGATATATATCTAAACAATAGCTTCTTGGTACATCGCCTATCGAATAACGTTACGGAAATAAGAAAAAATTATTTGAGCTATGAGGAGGTATCTACGGCAAAGTTCATTCATAAGAACCATCAGATACTTTTTCATCCGCAAGATGCTAAGAATAAAAATACTCGACAAAGTCCAATCTATCACGTCGATCTGGAAAATTGATTTATCCGCTTTCGACATCTCAATTTAAAGTCACATGTTACGTTACTCGGCGTATGATAACTAAAGCTGAAAAACTCGCGGTTTCACAAACTTCTCTGACAAATAAGACATTTGCATGGGAAAACAGGTCAGTTTACATAGAAAAACCAACAGAATCGCGAGCGAATTTAACGCAGTTACGACTCCCTGTGTCGCTGAGAAAACATAGTGCGCAAAAGAGGAACGATTCGCGCTCACGACCGACGCCTAGCGTCATGAAAATTGACATACGCGCCATAGATGACGAATCCTTAAAGATATAATTAAATATAGCCATCAGGATGCGCTCGCCGCTATCATGTATTCGCAGCCGCGATAACGAGGGGTTGCTAATTAGCCACGATCGCGAATCGACTAGCAATCATCGTTCGGCACTCCTTAATTAGCATAATTGCCATTCCAGGGGCATTAAAGCTCTATTAACTCGCTGCTGCTACCGATGGTGCTGCTTATATGAGGGATATATGCTTGCGTTTGGCTTTATCGCATTGCCGCGTCCGCCTATTTTGATGCACGCACGCTTCCACGCGAAATGTCATTGTATGTCATTAAAGCTCAATTACTAGTGCAGTTCTTTTTTTCCCTTTCATTCAAGATCAAAGACCGAATTCTCGGATACTTCAAATCTCATTGAATGAAAATTGCCACAGATCCAATCTCG